CCTATATGCTGGAAGAATCTCAATCCTCTGCGTGGCTTATGGCTATTGAAAAGAAAATCACTTCTATTGGTTTTAACCTGAGTGACCTTGTCATCCGGTCAGAGCTTGAGGTCTTTACTTTGCTTAAACAGAGACTTATTGATATAGAGTTGCAAGAGCTCAGAGCCCTTGCCTCCGGAAGGTGCTCCTCAGTAAGGTGGGCTTATCCCCTTTCTGGTACTCTACCATATTATTTTTTCTGTCTGACTTCACCGCAAATGTGTAGAGCTTATCTGTTGGCCCGTCTTAATGTTCTCCCTTCTGTTATTCTTGAGGGGAGATATAAGCAAATTCCTTATTCAATCAGGTTCTGTGGTTGTAACAGAAGTGAAATAGAAACTGTTGAGCACGTACTCTTACACTGTAAATTGTTAAATGACATTCGAGTGGAGTGTATAGAAGCCCCCCTTAGGATGGTAGCAGGCCAATCAGATAGAATCAAGGTACAATTTCTCCTTGCTTCACGAGATCTGGAGATCATTGAACTGACCGCTAAGTTTCTCCATTGTTTTATAAAACGGAAGAGTAACCCTGATCATATTAATGATTCTTAATTTATAAGTTTAAAAACTTAAGTTTAAAAGTTTGGAATGCCAGTTTATTTTATGATTCAGGCATCTTTTGTATGGTCAAATCTAACTTGTGACAACTTGAGTTAGGCCTGAAATACCCACGACTATCTATTTTATAATTTCTCTTGGACTGTATTATTGGGAAATGTTTTAATATTCTATGCCAATAAAAGGTATTTGAATTTGAATTTTACTCCTTTTGGAAAAAAAATAAGCCAAATGATAACAGTTCAGGAGCTTTTACTCAATGAATGCCCTTTTGAATTAGGTTCACACCTTCTTTAAAATGTATCTCTTGCCCCTTTAAGCGTCCTGCCTGAACAGAGTTATAGTAGCGAAAGGGAGATTTGTTTTCAGGAGCTCTTCAACAGATGGGTGATCATGATCTTGAAAAACCCCAAGAGCATGTCATGAGCAGCACAGCTGAATGGGTGAAGTCAAATGGGTGGACAAGGGTACATTATTGGTTGGGTGAGGGCATACAGTGGCACTATTTTGTTAAAATCATAAATTCCTCTATTCGAATAACAAGCTATCATTCTATAAATGCGGGTTTTCAGAGCACAAACCAGAATGCCTGTGAAGTATCCACTGGCCCCGCCTTGGGTAGTTTTGTCTACTGGGTTAGGTTGTTCTTGGACAGGTCCCTCTACTGTATTTATTTTACTAATGCCCAGAAGTGGAAAGGGTGGATCAAATAAAGCTTTAGCAGTGCTGAGCCCAATGGCAGTACACTTCCCGAGTCTAAGATGGATGATACTTCTGTTAATAAATTTAGAATGGCACTTTGCCATGGTATCATATTGTTGAATCATGTTCAATTTGTTAGCTGCTATAACCCCTTAAATCCTTCTTGGCAATGCTACTGCCTAGCTAGTTCCTCCCCCAGCCTCCCCACACACACTCTCCTTGCCCACATGTAATGCTTTACATTGATCTGCCCTTGTTCCAGGATGTCCCTGTGACATCCAGACTCATTGCAATAAGAGGCGAACGGAGGGATAACTCATAAAATCCACCTCGGCGCAGTGCGGGATCACTCTCTTTTTCTTCCGCAGCTAAGCCAGCAATCAATCGGATTTACAAAGTCTTCAGGAAAATGGGATTTATATCTATATCAAAAAAGGTACCAAGAAAGAGAGTCGGCCAAAATATTTCCTGCGGCTGAATAAGATCTCAGCCACTAGAATGGAAAATATTAGGGGCCGTCGTAAAAGCTATCCTCAGCTATTCTGATGGGCTGGGAACAATCCACTGTGCAAGCACCCTTGAAATGAACAAGAGCTGATCTTGCCTAGTTCCCCCTTCATTTCAAGGGGACTGATGCAGGGGCACAGCCCTGCAGTTTGCACACCTGAGGGCCACTCCTGTAAATCTCCTCCTCTTTATACTGAATCATCTCAGGAAGCTTTCGTAGGAATAATGCACGGCTATATACCTCCCCGGGGATTTGTGACTGCTTCTGACTAGGAGACCCACCGGATCCCAGTCTGACATTTTTCTCTCTCTTAATCGTAGCCTAAATTAGAAAGGTGAGATATTCTTATTCTCCTTGTGATCATTTGTCCCACATAATCGGCTCATACTGCTGGACAGCAGAAGATTTCTCTCGCTATCCTTCCGAGCACCTCGGCTTTCATTTAGGAATAAAAACTGTAGAAAATGTCTCGCTCTCAAGTCTGCAAGTAGTCGGAGCAGATGGAAAAGGAGAAGCCGTTTTCTTTAAAAAGGCAGGTGAAACGGAATCTCAAACCCACTGTGTTCTTCAAATCACAGGGCTGGACCCAGACTAAATTTTCTGTTAACGGAAGGGATGGTGCAATTTCCGCCAGTTCCCTCTTCCTGCTGCAAACCACTGATTTGCCCCTCATGCCATTCCTGAGGGTTGTCTGTCCCCCAAGAGCGACAATTCAGAGAGATTAATGAGCTGCTATGTTTGGGGGGGGGGGGGGGGGGGGAGGCTGAAGAGTCATCTTCCACTGACAGAAGTGTCTTCCGTTAGCGGAAAACTTAGTCTGGACCCAACCCATACTGTTTTTAAGCACGTATTATCAATCTGTGGAAGAGCTAACAGGCCAGATCAGGGGTGGTCTTAAGCGATTCAGGGGGCCTGGGCTAAAGTCGAGGATGGGGCTGCCACACCAACTTTATTCCCTCCCAACTTATTCTGAACAAGAATGAAGGACCCAATTTTCACAGACAAGTGTATGTCCCTTCAGAAGTGCCCCCCCCCCCGTGGCTTCTCCCTCATTGCGCTCCTGCTAGACCTTCTGCCCTTCCCTTGGCCGTGTGGCTTCCCTTGATGCTCCCTTCATCCGGGCTGGCCTTTGGTGCTAAATGCAGACAATGGGGCTGAGGTTCTTTGCTCCTCCCAGCCCATCCCTGTCTCCAGGGTTCTTTGAGTGGTAGAACTGAAGTCCCAGGTGGAGGAGACAGAACCTGGCTGCTTCTTCAGCACTGCAGCCATCAACCGCAGCAACAAGCAGAGGGATCCATTTCGTACTCCTCCGTGGACGGATGGGAGGAGACACCTTTCCATCCTGGGAACCAGATCTTGCATTTTCTTTCTTTCTTTCTTTTTTTTTTGTAAATTTATTTTCCATGTTTTCACCTTTACATTTTCTCATTTTCTTACTTCCAAATCTTTAGGGTGCATATTTGGGGCAAGGTTCTATCATGCTGATCCCATCAGTGTGGGTGATTGCAGGGCTGAAGTGGGGAGCTGTAAAGCTGACACCAGCTGGGGAGGGGAGGGACATGTTACTCAAGGCTGGAGCTGTTCATAGAATCATAGTGTTGGAAGGGACCGCCGGGGTCATCTAGTCCAACCCCCTACCCAACGCAGGAAATTCACAAATACCTCCCCCTCCACACCCGCAGTGTTGGTGGTGGAAAGTGCCATAAAGTCACACCACATTTATGGTGACCCCCGTACGGTTTTCAAGGCAATGGCAGGCAATGGCAAACCTCTTCTGTTCATCTCTTGCCTTAAAAACCCTTATGGGGTCACCATAAGTTGGCTGCAACTTGGCGGCATAGAACCCAAATCTACTTAGGACGGCACGGCTTGTCTCTGTCGTCTCTTCTCAGATCTCTCTGTATTTCTTGAGTTGATGTACAGCATAAGAACCTTGTCTCCGGCAAAACCATTCTGAGAATCGTCACTTTTAAACTGAAAGAAAAGTTGCTAGACCCCAAGGACGTGGTGCAAATGTACAGGCTAGAATCTATGACCTGGAGCGCTAACACCACTGCTCTGGTGAAGAAGGCCCAGCAGAGGCTCTTTTTTCTCAGACTTTTAAAGAAAAATAACTTGAGTGAGAAAATACTGATGTCCTTCTATCGTTGCTCAATAGAGAGCATTTTAACATACTACGTCTGTGCCTGGTTTGCCAGCTGAACGGCTGTGGAGAGGAAAGCACTCCAGAGAGTTATCATCACAGCCCAGAAGATTATTGGCTGCCCTCTCCCGTTCCTGGAGGAATTGTATAGTTCTCGATGCTTGAAAAAAGCAAATAACATTCTGCAGGATTTGTCACACCCTGAACACTCCTTGTTTGAACCTCTGCCTTCGGGTAGAAGATATAGGACAATTAAAACAAGGACAAACAGATTAAAAAACAGTTTTTATGCAATGTGAACCTTAAGGGAGTTATGGGATGGTTGTGAATGGTTGTGTGAGTGTATATGTGTATGGCTGTAGATCACTGAAATGATTGCACCTTTAATTTCGTTGTACTATGTACAATGACAATAAAGTATATTATTATTATTATTGTTGTTGTTGTTGTTGTTATTATTATTATTATTATTATTATTATCTTACAGATGATGGCTTCCCCACCAGGAAATACTCTGCTTCAACTGCTCCTTACTGTGGAGCCAAGGAAACAGACTGCCGCACACCGGGAAGAACTACATAAGTCCCAAAGGACTGCAGATGTGGGAGGAGGAACACTGTATTTGAGACATCAACTGAAAGCTGATCATTGGATCAGAAGCCAGGCTCTAAATCTTAAAATCAATACATCAAAGGATTTCAGGAACTCCCGTATCTTGCACAACTCTCTCCCTTTTCTTCCCCCACAGCCCAGAATTTCCAACCCTTCGATGCCGTGCCTTCATTTTATGCCCTTTCTAAAAAACTGCAAAAGCACAAACGCTGCAAAAATCAGACCTCATTATGCAGGCTAGGCAACTTTTTTTTCCTTGCATATAACGTTACATGCATAATTTATTCTGAGTGCGGAATTTTCTTGGCAACAGAAAACTGCCAGCCCTGGCTTATTGCAACGCCAAACCACGGGGTTCTGTCTGCCTCCAGAACTGGCTTTTCCCGCCCTTCCCCATTCTCAAAAAAAAAAAAAAAAAAGGCGCTGTGAACCCTACCTTTGCTGATATCTTCGTATTCCAACCAGAGCTGCCTTTGGACCTGCTTGTTGGGATACCAGATGGAGCAGGACTCCTCGAAGCCGTAGACTGCTTCCTGGATGTAGTGGTTCCCAAAGTGGTCCAGCAGAGCCACAAAATCCCCTCGAGATGTGGCTCCATCCAGAGAATGGAGAGCATTGCCAAAAGCTGCAGAGGACAGTGGCACAGCATCACAGAAAAGAGAAAAGCCCCACCTTAATAACATAGGAACTGCCTTTTTGGGTCAGAACTGAGTCCAAAGAGCCCAGCATTCTGTTTCCAAAAGGGATGAATTGTTGCTTCTGGAAATTCACAAGTGGGGTACGAAGGCAGTGCTTCCTCCCCAGCATCAGTGAATGGGTAAAAGTAGTTCACTGTGTTAACATGCAGGTACAGGGACAGCTGCCCTTACTAAGCCTCTGATCAAACTGTTATCTGTCTGGGATTGACTCTAATGTCATGGGAAAAAAAAGTTTAAATATCCCATACTCAAATTGCATAATTAATTGTCAGTATAGTTAATTGTCTTTGATAACCACTTTGATATTCACTTTTCAGCCCCACCCTATTTACACTACTAGTTGGGATCAATACCGCTTTTACTTGAAAAGAAGATGGCCCTGAATGCCTTAAGAAAAACTGGTGTGCACATGCACAAAATCATTATTAGACATAACTGTAACTTGCATGTAAATGTAAGATGAGATGCTCTTTTGTTGATGGCCTCGCATTTGAGTAAATACTGTAAATGTGCATCAAAATAAGAGCACCAGAGACGTCAAGTCATTGGGAGTGGATAGAAACCACAGGCCAAAGGAATCAGTCCACCTCCGGGTTTGCCAGGTCTTAGGTTTGAAATGAAATCTCGGGGTTCTAAACTCATTCTCCAGGTCTCCAGGAGTTCAGTCTGAAGGTTTGATGCCGAAAGTGCAGGGGGCAAGATATTCTTAACAGGGTCCATTCCCTCCCCCCACTAAGTTTATATCCCCATGTTTCCCCCAACAAATACTTCGATATCCTTTTATCTTTTTCCGAGTGATGCAGCAGCAGGCATCAATACGCACCTGGTGAAAGCAAGATGGGGAAGGGGTAAGGATCATCCACTTGAGGCCAGTTAAGAGGGCTCCCAGGCTCCACCCCTTTCTCTGACAGGCTCCACCCAGGAGTTCCCAGGCTCTGCCTCTTGATTCTCAGGGTCTGAGCCTCAAGCAATCTGGCCACCTTAAAGGCACCCCTGCTGTATGGGTCGGCATCACTTACATTGGGAGATAGTCAGCTGGCTGAGCCTGACGTGGTACATGACGGAGCGCACCTTCCAGTGTTGCAGTAGAGGGTACCCAGACACCTCGCTGAAGTTCACCATCCCTGTGGCAGAAAGGTCAGGGGGAAAATTCGTTCAGCGAAAACATACCTTTCCACAGACACCCTTTTATGTACAGTGCACTTTTGTCCCGCCTTTCCTCCAAGGAGATCAGGGCAGCACACGTGGCTCTCCTCTGTTCTGTCCTCACAACAGCCTTGTGAGTTAGGCAAGGCTCAGAGAGAATGACTGGCCCACGGTTACTCACTAAGTTTGATGGAAAATGGAAATCTGAACCCAGGTCCTTATCCAACGCTTTAACGACTATCCCAGACTGCCTCTCCGCAAACACTTGTTCATCTAGAACAGCAAAACTCTTTACCCTTTGGTTTCATCACTGTGGAAAGCAAAGGAAAGCAGCGCCGAGACAGAGACATATTCCTAGCATATAGATGTTTGGCATTTGGCTTGAGATCTGTCCGGCCAGATCTGACAGCTAGAAGGGGTGAACAATATTGCAAGCTGCTTTGCGGCCCCAATGGGGAGAACAGTACGGTATAAATAAATTAATTAATAAACTGTAAGGCTATTTTTAGAATGTGCTTATTCAGGTTGCTGGTCTGCAGCTGCAGTTTAATTTAAATTGTATCCCAATGACTACCCCACTGTACAAAGCTGGGGACATCTCAGTCTAGCACATTGAAAGAGAAACTTATTTTTATGCAAAGGAGGGTTTTTTTAGGGGGGGGGGTGAGTGGCTGCCTGCATCCCACCTGTGACTCTGCCTCTGTATTCTTCATGCCGGGGGGGGGGGGACAGTGGGAGGGCTTCTAGTGTCCTTGTGGACCTCCTGATGGCACCTGGTATTTTTGGCCACTGTGTGATAATATTGGACTGGATGGGCCATTGGCCTGATCCAACATTGGCTTCTCTTATGTTCTGCCAAAAATGTAAGCTGGCCCTCATTTAGAAACATTTTAGGGCCAATCCAATTCATATTCACATCAGCACAGAAATGAAATGCTCCCCGTGAAAAGTTTTAAGGTCTGGACACACCTGCTAATGTTGTATGTGAACTGCTATCTAGGGGGCAGGACCTGATCCAAGATGATCCCTTCACATACCATACTTGTTCTTCGCTATTGTGGATTTCTCTCTGATGCTAGCAGACACCTGCTTACCTCCCTCCCTGCAGTGGATGTGCGAAAGCAGGAATTATGCTTAGACTTTTCGCCAGGAGATGTCTTATTCTAACCCGGAAATGTCTTAAATGACATCAAGCAATTGATGCTTCTGCCGATCAGTCACAAAGTCTGCCCTTCTCTAGGCAGTGTTAATTACTTTAGTCTGACAAGAATGGCAGGAATTTACCCTCAAATTGAAATGGGATTCGCACCCTCTCTTCCTTTCCCAGATCTGTTAATTGCTTTAGTTTTACACAGTCCAATAGATCCTGTGAATTAGAGGTGATCCAAAATTTACATTCAGTCCACTTAGTGGTGGGCCCAGCATCATCTATGTGTCAGGAAAATCTCTCTCTCTCATTAGGGCTTTTTCAGGTGTTACGCTAATGCATTCCAACTGCATGTAATGGAAGTACATGCTTACCAGTAGGGATGGGCATGAACTAAAGTTCGTGATGAATTTTGGCCAGTTAGTGGTCTGCGAACTGAAGTTTGTGGCAGGTCAGTCGGCACAAAACTCGGACCCCATACACCCAGACCGATTTCCCACGAGCCGCTGCTCCACCCTCGCTCTTCCTTTCCCCCCCGATTGCATGTGTCAATTTCCCACTACTTGCTGCGCAGCTGCATTTTGACCCGCAGCTTCATCTGATGTCCCCCACGTCTTTTCGATCCTCAAAAAACAGGATCGAAAAGACGCGGGGGAAATCGGGGGAAGCTGCGGGTCAAAATGCAGCCACGCAGCAAGTAGTGGGAAAATGACACATGCAATCGGGGGGGGGGGGAAGGAAGAGCAAGGGTGGAGCAGCGGCTCGTGGGAAATCCGTCCCAATCTTTACCAAACTTGGAAGGCAGGTAGAGGAGACTCAGCTGGAGATCCCCTGTGAATTTGGTGCCTCTAGAATGTCGGGGGGACATTCTACTATGTCACAAACTGAACTGGTTGGTTTGGCAGCTAAAAATTTACGACGGTTCATGGTTTGTGAACCAGGCATGCCACTGTCGCGCTCTCCCTTGGACTCTGGTGCGGCGCCCCCAGTGGCCGTGGTCTCAGGGTTTGCAACCTGACCCTGGTGAGGGAGACGGCCCTTGGAGCGGTAGGGTCCAAAAAGGGAGAGGGAGTGAGGGGCCTCAGACAGGCAGGAGACAGGGTTAACGTCACCTGGAGAGTCCCTCTGCCAGTACGCTATGGAATTCCTTCTCTCTCTTTTCCATCTCTCGTCTCTCTCTCTCTCTTGGTCAGCGTCCCACTCTGTTCCACAGCGTACTCCTCCTCCCCGGCCCCTTCTCCACCCTGCCTTTTATCTCCCCGCCCCGCTCCCAGGACCGCCCATCTGCCCTCTGACTTGGGCCACGCCCTCCTATATCTGCTGGGATGCTGGTGGAGCGTCTCCAGGGCGAGTGCTGATGCACTGGCGGTGGCCCTGGTGGGCTCTGGGCTGCGCTGCCGCTGATCTGCAACGGTACCTGCTGCTTTGCGCCCGCTCCTGGCTTGTAGGAAAAACAGCCGCCACCCCTCTTCTCTTCCATGATGCTGCCTCTTGGACCCCGAAGTCCTGTTTCCGGGCCCGGCCGACTGAGCCGGACCAGGGAGGAGCCCCCGCTCCCGACTCTCTCCCCGGACTGTTGGCCTTTGTCTCGCTTGGTGAGTCATGCCTAGGGGGTCTTCTGGGGTCTGTCGAGGTCCCCAGCGCCCAGTCAGCACGTCCCGCGACCTCCGGGGCAGGACAGCCACAACCCACAAACAGAGCTGCATTTTCCTGGTTCGTACCCATCCCTACTTACCAGCATTCCTCCCAATATGTATGGCCATCAAGTTGTGTGAAGAAGAGCAATGCACATATTTACTATCCCTTGGTATACACAAATGAAAAGCCTGACAACTCCAGCAATCAGTTTGTGTGTATCTAGGCTGCACGTGTGATGTCATCCATGGTTTCGCGAAGAGTCAGACTCGACTGTCCGACTGAACAACAGGCATGGTAAATGTGAGCATTACCTCTGTTTATGCAATATGGTTACTATATGTACCGGGAAATCGGTGGTACCATTATATGCAATGTCATGGTGGGCTCCCAGTATGTGCTCTATTGTAATGTCTGAAAAGCACAGAAGCACCCTAACTTGCAGGCAGCACCTCCCCCACCCTACCCAGACACTGACTTTATGTAAAATTTGTATCCCGCTTTCAAAACATTCAAAGCAGCTTATGAACAGAACTAAAAAAATCTACAGAAAACCAATGAAATCAAGTTTTTTTAAAAATTCAATTTTTAAAGATGTTCGTAACGAATTCCAGAATTGTTTGCTGCCAGAAGCCAGCCCAAGCCAAAAATGCAATGAATTTGATTTGGGACTCCACCAAGATAAGCACAACAGAACAAAGTCAATTTGCACCATTTACAAAAGTGAACTAAAGTGTCAGCAAGCTGCCATTCTGTTTTCTGTGACCTCTGTGTACATATCCTTTCCCTGTTACACCCGGCTTGGTTTCTATCATCCTGCTCTTGCTTTGGAATGCTTAAGATAACTGGTGGAGGTTGTGTTGTGATGGAAGGCCTGCCGGGAATGTTGGACGTTAGAATGGCCAATTTCCTGGACGCACACGCCGCGCAGTTGCAAGTTGCTCCTGCACCGGGATTTCCCGCGCCGCCGATGCCTGCTCAGCCGCTGCAAGCACCGGGAGTTCCCGCGCAGCAGGTACCTGTCCAGCAGCCGGTGAGACCGCCTCCGCCAGTGCCTGCGCAGCCGCCGATGCCAGGGGGTCCGCCGGTGCCGGGTCTGCCGCCGCCGCTGAGGCCAATACCAGCAGGGCCACCGGTTGTACCGGGTTTCCCTCCCAGGGGAGCTCCGGGGCAGCTGGGCCCGTTGGTGAGGCCTCCACGACCCAGACCCAAGGATCTGCTGGAGGCTACCTTCGACGGCAACCCGGATGAACTCGCTTTCTTCACGGTGAGGGTGCATAAATTCGTAGAAGAGAGTCGACACCTGTTCCGAAATGAAGCTGGTCTCATTGATGTCATCTCGGCAAGACTGAAAGGAGACGCCGCCACATGGTATGTTGGACTGCACAACGACCGCGGTCCGGAACTTTTGAATTTGCGAGCATTCATGTGGGCGCTGAGGGCGAGATTCGAAGATGTCAACGCGAGTCAAAGAGCTAAAGCGTTCCTCCGGACCTACCGCCAGAACAAGAAGTCGGTTCGCGAGTACACTCTGGAATTCCACAAGCAAGCAGCTAAGCTCCGAGACTACCCTGATCATATATTGGCTGAGATGTATCGCTTGGGTCTCAACGCAGAAATCCGAGAAACGGTTCTGAAAACTGTCAACCCTGTCTCCCTGATGGCCTGGACCCAAGAAGCTGAAAATGCAGAAGACCGGCTCACCACCATCAAACTCGACCTGGCTGCTACGACCAACAGACCCGCCGCTGTCGGTGCCTCTAAACCCAAGACTCAACGCCTGTCGGAATCGGCAAGGGAACTACGGATGAAGATGGGGCTCTGTCTCAAGTGCGGGGAGAAGGGGCATTTCGCTGTGGATTGTGGCAGCCGTCAAGTCAAAGACAAGCCGCCTACCCCAAGCCCGAAGACACCGCTGTCGGGGAAGAAGGGGATGGCTAAACCGCGTTTCTCCAAAGCTCTGCAGGCAGCCCAAGGTTCGGGGGAAAATGAACCGGCTGCCGCCGAGTCCGAAGAAGAGCTGGTGGCTGAAACGGCGGAAAACGACAACGGCCTGTTGTGAGAGGCGCAAAACGACAAGGCCATTCTAATGCTGCGCCCAAGGTGGTGAGAGAAACCCCTTCCCTATTTTTCGTGACTGTCTCCTTAATGAATCCGCTCCTAGGAACCCACGTTAGGGTAAGAGCGTTGATTGAT